AGAAGGGACTACAATACGGAAAATATTATAAAATTTAAAAACCATCTCAAGAGTCTTACTTTTTCAGAAATTTATGAAACAGATGACCCAAATGTAGCTTATAATTGTTTCGCCGCGATTTTCAAGTTACTGTACGACCTGTGTTTTCCATTTATAGCGGTTAAAATAAATGCGATACGACGTACTAAGTGGGTGTCAAAAGGCATTAAATTATGCAGTAAAAAGAAAAGAAAACTTCTATGGCAGTTTCGATTAAATCGAAGCCATAATAACAAAAACTTATTATATAATTACTCAAAAATTTACAAAAAAATCATACGGCTAACACAAAAAGCACAAAACAATTACAATATAAAAACATCTGAAAACAAATCTAAAACCGCGTGGCAAATAATTAATCGTGCAAAGTATAACGTACCTAAATCCAACATAAATAGAATTAAAATAGGTGACTGCATCATGACACATCACAGTACTATTGCAGAAGCATTTAATAATTTTTTCATTGATAAGGTGCAACCAAAGCAGGGTATAGCGAGGTCTGCACCTAGGGGATTTACTGTAGACCACAATAATAAAACTATGTTTATGGCCCCTAGTATACCAACCGAGATTAAAAAAATAATAATGTCCTTAAATAATACAAGTAGTGTAGGATATGATGGTATTGCTACGAATATACTGAAACAAGTTGCGGACGAAATCTGCGGTCACTTGAGTCATGTTATAAATCTCAGCATTAGTGCGGGCGTCTATCCTGATGCCCTAAAAGTATCAATAGTTAAGCCACTATTTAAGAAAGCAGATAGGGAATTAATGGAGAATTATAGACCTATATCACTAATACCTATAATTTCTAAAATATTTGAAAAATACATTTGCAAGGAATTAAATTCATTTATAGAAAAACATAATATTCTATGCAAAGAACAGAAAGGATTTAGAGTGGGTAAAACTATTAACATGGCCATCTATGATTTTTTACATAATGTTATACATAATGTTGATAAAAGAAAACCGGTCTGTGGCGTATTTTGTGATATGACTCAAGCCTTTGACTATGTACACTACGGGACACTCTTAAATAAACTTGAGACGTATGGGGTCAGAGGAAATGTAAACAATCTCATTAAATCTTATTTAAATAACAGGACTCAAATTACACACATAAACGCAATTGACATGAAAAGTAAACATGACAACGTGTATCAGTCTAGAGAACGTACAGTTTCATTTGGTGTGCCACAAGGGAGTGTTTTGGGGCCTCTCTTATTCATTTTGTATATAAATGATCTGCCAAAAGGCATCCCTCAACCCCTGACACTATTTGCCGATGATAGCACCATAGCAATACCGTGTAAAAGTATCGATACTTATGAGAGTGACATAAATGTATCTATAAATTTAATGGTAAAGTGGCTAGATGATAATAATCTAAAAATTAATCTGACTAAAACTAAATTAATACACTTTAGTCAAAGGATCAATACCAAAAGCAGTCTCAATGTACACTACGCTGACCAACCTATAGAAGAGGTAGAAACAACTAAATTTTTAGGGCTCTGCATTGATAAAAAGCTAAACTGGAAGGCCCATATCGAAATCTTATGCAGGAAGTTAAGTAAGTCTGCCTACGCCCTACACACGTTATCGTCTATAATAGGTGTAGAGGCATTACTTGCTGCTTACTATGGGTTAACTGAATCCCACCTACGCTATGGTGTAATTTTCTGGGGTAACTCGGCAGAAAAAGACACGATATTCAAGGCTCAAAAGAGATGCGTACGTTCAATATTTAAAATTAAACCCACTGATAGTTGCCTGCCATACTTTAAGAAAAATAAAATACTCACTTTGCCATGTCTGTACATTTTAGAGGTAGCTGTATTTGTCAAAACGAATCCACACCGATTTAAACTATTAAATGAAATAGTCCCACGTAACAGGCGCGATAACAGTAGGATATGCACGCATACTGCGAGAACTTCCCTCATGCGTAAAAGTATTTTCTGTATGGCGCCTGTGATATTTAATAAATTACCAAAAATTTTGAGAGAACTACCCTTGACACATTTTAAAAATAAGCTGAGAAGGTTTTTAGTTAATAAAGCCTATTACAGTGTTCAGGACTTTTTGAATGAGAAAGACTTTCTAATTCAGGCTTCGTATAACATATTTAATGGTGAAGAATAATAATAATACAATGTACATTTTTTATAATTTTTTTGTATACCTATTGGACATAATAATATAATTTAGTATTGATTTGTAAATAAATTGACTTATTGTAAGGACCACTATTTGACTGCGTAATGATGAATATAGGTATGTACTGGACGTAATTTATTTTAGACTATCATATAAGTAACTACCTAATTTAGAAATATTGTGACATCAAATTCAAATGTTTATCTCTTTAATGTAATTTAATAATGACTATTATTGTACAGATTGCTGATTTTAATGAAATTGAATATAATCTTTATACCTATAAAATTTGTATGCCACTATTGGCGAAACATGGACGCACAACATATTATTTAACATCTTGCATGTCTGATTACTCGATTTATGTATACGCATGTTTTACAAATAAACAATCTTTCTTTCTTTCTTTCTTTCTTACGGTGTATCTTTTTATAATGACGAACGTAAATACATTTACATTAATCATTTGATATTTATCTTGTAATCTTAAAGTTGGTTCATACGGCTAATAGCTTCTGGCCGTATAATACTGTATATGTCCGCGAGCAACGTACATTTACAATAAGTACGAGTGTTCGAGTTTCCGCAAACGGTTATTGTAAGCTATTCAATACTCCAACCCACTTAAGTTTCATGTCAGTTGTCAGAATAACAAATGGTCGAAGTTGTCTCTCTTTTGACGAAGTTCAAACCGTTGTGGCCGACTTCCAAATGATTTGACGCTTTCATGCGTTCGTGAGAAATGTAGCAAGGACGTGGCCCTAAACTGTTAGTCAATCGTTTTCACACATTTAATGAGACGCTGAAAGCTATTTGAGGCGCCACTTTATACGACAAAAGCGGAATGAAGTGAGTGGGTTTCACATATTTTTGTACATTTTCTACGTGACTGTAAAAGCGAATATCATCACAAGACCAGTGGGTGTAACAGACTTGCTACCGAGGTGATAATTCCTAAGCGTTGCCAATAAGCGAGACGCAATAAGTGACCAATGCATCATTGTAATCAGTATTGTAAATAACCTAGGCTCGCTTCACACTACATGTCATATTTAGCAAATATCAGTGCGACAAATTAATTGATTGTGTTTATACCAAAAGTATTTTCATTCGGGACTAATTTAGTGATTACGTATTTCAAAACTCACCCTGTCACTCGCCTTCTAAAAATATTGTACTTGGCACTGAATTAAACGGCGTTAACTCTTTGAACTATGGCCAAGTTGTAATACTTTGTAGTTGTGATTGTACAGCGTTATCAGGGACACTGATACCGTGTATTTACTCTGATAATGTATCTCTGATTAGTGTTTTGCAGTTCTTGATAACCGGTCGCTAGCGGCTGTTCTTTTTCCGTACAATGTTTCCAAGCCACTCTAGTGTTATTTAATGATAACGCATTTTTGGTCAAAACATGTTTTGCTCTTTGTTTGTGCTCAATACATTTTCCTCTATCGATACCGAGGAAAAAATGTAGAAAAAACGGTTTGGGTCACTAGTTATGTGTAGGTAGGTAGAATTTCTGCTCCGCTGCCTCAGCTGTCGAAGCATGATTGAATAGCAAGCCAACCAATCGTTCTTTTTGTTTCGAAAACTGAGGTTTTCTTTGAGTTTTCTTTTTCCCTTTCACTTTGAACAAAACATAGTTACAAAGTTAGTTCTTCAACAATCATAAATAGTAATCGTGTATGGCCTTTGACAAAAGTTTGAAAAAGAAAAACCTTCCGGCGTTGGTACAGCCTTCCGAGCTCTCACTCCCTTAAAATCCCTTTAAAATTAAACGAGAACTTGAAAAATCCTCTTTGGCAAACTTTGGAAGTGGAATCGAGTTGTTAAGTTTGTTACATCTCGTTCAATATTTTATAATGTGGCGAGAGACCGGCCGGTGATCCGTGAGCGTCACTCGACCTCCACGAAGGCCGTGCCCGGCTTTATTGATTTTTTATGCGCATTGTCCATTTCGTTCGTACCTACGCCCCCGCCTGGCGGCCGCCCGCTCTGGGCCACGAGAACGACGATTTGCGATCGCTATATTTGTCACACTAATTACTATGCCACTAACACATTTTATTATTACTCCCCATTGTTATTAGAACGCAACGGTTGACTCTCTCCATATCACATACTTTGCTTTCACAAACATATTATCGGACGCGATTATGAAATGCCTTGTTCGCGATACTCGTATAACATCACCCATTAATGTGCCTGAGAGGAAACAAAACCGACTAAGTTTTATAGTTGTGTTATCATTAAACTGTCTGCGTTAACCTACTTATGTTTTCTCATATTGGCGCCGAGGGCGTAACTAAACCGTACTGCTGTATGCATAGTTATATTAGCTTTTACTAGAACTGGGCAAATCGTTTACGACTTCGGTGCTACTCGTAAAAACTTTGGACGGAAAGTCAAGAGACCTTTGGTGTTCGCCGGTACTTTATCATCACTATACGAATATTTTATTATTATAACAGAACTATTATTTTCACGGTTAGACGTACAGCGAAACTTTACTAAATTATGTATTAAACCCATGTAACACCCGTTTCATAATGTGTGTAATTAATTAACTTTGTGTACTGAGAATCCGGATACAATATTGTTCGACCGAAGAATCGTGATTTATTAAGGTCTGCCTACTATTATTAGATAATAATGGTGTTTATTACAAACTATTTACTGCAGATGTTATGCGTAGATAGCGTAGGAGAAAATGTGAAATTAATGGCGAAATGTAAAGAATACAGAATTTTCTTACGAAATACTAATGTTTGTTTTATCTTTTGTTACAGATTGAAAACTGTGTGGACTGCCAGATCACCTTGCTAACTACTTTATACATTAAAAGTAAGTTTTGTTTTTGTTATAGGGTACCTAATACATAGGTCACTAACTCAAAACCCCTACCTTTAGATTACAGAGGTTACGTTTTATGAATGAACTATGTAAACATTGGGAACGTGAAATTGTAACGTTTGTTGATAAAACTTTTACTATAATTTAACAACTTAAACATACCAACTTTATTATTAAGTATTATTATTTAGATATGCACTATCTAGACACGGGGTCTCATCGTGAAGATAACAAAAAATATACATGGTAAAGAAGTCGAATAACTAATTAAATTTATAATTAAGTATTATTAACAACAACATCATATCAAATTTCTTCATACAATATTATTTTGTAGATTTACATTAGTAATCAGAATTAACATATGCGGAGCGACGACAGGTGACTTAACGTGCACACTCGTGTGTCCATATTTTATTAACCCATTTGGGACCAAATGCAAACTACACATAATTTAATAAAAAAAACTTTATTAATTCAATGAAATGACGCCCACAAACTAATATCAGCAAAAAAAATTCAAAAAATATATTTAGAAGTATTAAAAAAAATGCCGTCCTTGATTGGGGACGATGGGCTCATGTGTAGTACTTTTCGAAGTAGTAACTGTTTTCGACACATAAGGTTCTAACGCATTATTTGCATTGATATCACAGTTTTTTTTATGAAGAATTGCGTGTCGGAACAGATATTAACTAAATCTCTGCGGAAAATGTCTAAATCAATTTGATGTGACGCGCCTGTATTTTTTTGCGGGTAAAAATCATGCATTGCGTATTTCACCTGGGGGACTCTTACTGGCTAAAAACCAACACGTTCCTAATTCTGCTTCAAGCCGAAGCCCCGGTGACCCACTAGGTTATTCATAGTGGTCGGACATCTGTCCTACTGAGCCATCTCGATCTAAGGCGGTCTGACAGCACTTTGAAGCGCGCGCGTAACGCCACGCGCCTTATAGGTTCAGGTCTGGTTCTGGGCGGCGATCTGTTCTTGCTACTATGACTGCTTCGCAGAAAGCGATGGTTTTCCAGTTCCCCCCTCAGGTCAAATAAATACATATCAGGTTTAAATGTTTTAAAAATATACTACAGATGTGCCCATTGTCCCCAAACGGGGACACCATAATATTTTCTAACTTTCCCCTAAGTGGAATTGAAAGTATTAGGATATTCTTCAATATTGTTCTAAATGACACTATAAGCAAGCAATAATCACAAAAAAGTTTTATAATTCTTCATAGTAACATACTATAAAACGGCTCTGCTTTCGATAATAATTCCCATTTCACTTCCTCTTGATAAAATTGTCAATATGACCCCCTTTTTGTAGCAATTTGTCAAAACTTCTAATAGTTTTAGGAAAGTACACTACTCCTCATAAAAAATACTAATGAAAATTGAAGATAGCTAAAAAAATGAATAACCAGCGGGTAAAAGAAGACCTGTCCCCGTATGGGGACGGCAGATCCAAATGGGTTAAATCAACAGTGGCGATGAACACACCTGTTGTATTATTACTTTGAGTGATGCCGGCACACAATAGGCCAACGAATTCACATTCTGCATTGGTCAATTTACGACTTTGCGAAATCCAAATATTGGCTAATAATAATTCTAATACTGTACCGCACTCGGCACCCACGTAATTTGTTCTGTCTTCAACGTCAAACGGCTATTTTTGTTAACTACTAATTCGCCGCGCTAATTAAACCGTGAATTACGTTAACGTTTATGAGCATGTGTAAATCTTTGACGTTTCTACTTACGACTTTTGATTCTCATGCAATGCAATAAACGAACGTTGTTAATGTTATCGAGAATGCCAGGATGGGCAAACCGAGCAAAGCCAAAAGTTCTCTGTATTTCTAAATTTAACCTCCTTTGAGCCTGTTTGCGGAATTTCAACTTGAGAATTCCTTCGTCCGTTGACTCTGGTGCGGGGGGCGCGCGCGTCAAACCGACTCGTAAAATGCAAACGCTTCGTGTCACACGCGGAGTGACACATAGCTTTCATATCGCATGACATGCCGATCTGTCTTTGTTCCGATGAATTATGTTCTGCGTCCCGGCGAGCCGCTAGATGAACGCTAACCGCGCCACAAATCATCGGCTCTGCTAACTCACTCCGCAAGAACGTCGCCCCGGCCCCGTCCCGCCGACCTCGCCGTCTTTCCACAAATTCTCACCCCGAAACGATACATTCACCGGCGCGCACGGACAAATATCACACGAACGCCGCAATGACGTAAACTCCATAGTCGCGTGCGCCAGCCGATGTTCAACTTACATTGGGCCGTTGTGCGCGGCACACACGATCATTAAACGTATATCTGTTAATAATAATTGCGATTGTCTGGTTGTACGTGCGCGCCGAGTTATGGCGCAGTTGCCGGGCGGTTTGCGAGACCCCCTCCCCCGCCACCCACTTACCGCCGACCCTCAGATCTGCGGCGAGCGGCGCATCTTGAGATGAAATGGCATTCAGTTTCGTTTTGTGACGGTTGAATGGGCGCCCGGTTTCGCGAATATGTGTGTGTATTGAAAGTATGAATACATACATTAAATTTTGCAAGATGAATTTTCACATGACTATAAAGTTGTTAGACTCAATATTCAATTTACTCTTACGAGGTCTCACGTATTATATTATGCGAAGTAGTATTAATATGTATTTTTCAATTCTGAATAATACACGTGTAAGTTCTCTCGTTCTCTAGTAACGTGCAGAAATATGTATGACCGTGACCCTGTCGAAAGAATATACGTGATCGTAAAACTAAACAGATTACTACCATACAGCTATGTAAAATTGCTAATTTTGTAATTGACCATTATAAATGCTTGCAGTTTATATTGAATTTCTTTCTCATACACGGGCATGTAATAAAAGCGTTGGTAATAAACGCATAATTTGTTACAGCCAATAAAGAAGATACCTGATGTTTCTTCTAAACTATCATTCTTATCTTAGTGATCGAACATACCTTTTGCAAATTAAAATCTGTCTCAAAGCACTTAAGTCTATAATAATCTGCGAACAGAAAATAAGTTTTCGTTAAAACAACAACCTACAATTTCCACCTTTTTATACTCAATAAGGCTCATAGCCGTACTTTACGAGGCATTATAAAGCACATGTTACAGATTTTCCGTTAGCTTGCACATTTTTACGATCTCGATGTGGCCTGGGTCGGCAGTTTAACACAGCCCAGGCCGTAGTCCGAAGTCCGTCGGGCTCTCACGACTGGACCGTACGTGATCTGCTGCGACGCTCCCCGACTCGCTAATAACAGCTTTATACACGTACAAGTGTATGTTCACGCTGAACCAGTGTGAGAAGAAAAATTCCCTTCGTTACTTTGATAACGTATTGTGGTTGTGGTGGATGTGAGAGAAATGCCATTTTCACCGGTCTTTGATAAGTTGGACATTCTTTGCCTACCATAATGTTACTAATTAGTTTACAACCAGTAGCAACTACCAACTAAAAATTTACAAAAGAAAATTGCAATGAAACACCAACATAAATCAGCAGTACATGAACATCTGCGCACTTTAATTTAAATACCCTTGTTTGTTACCCAGAAACAGGTTTAACATTTATTAAACGACACATTTTATATGAAAGAGCAAGGATTATTTTAATACCATAAGCTTTGGAGAGTTATATCCCACACAGGCTTACTGAACCAAACGAGTTTCACCATGGCTCTTTACAATAGGTTAACTATCTGTCATTACTCATGCACCGTTGCGACTTTCGAAGCTTAGTGCTTTGGTGTCAATGCACTTCGTCTTCACGATACTTGTCCGTTAACCCTGTAAAATGTAAATGAAAAGAAGTTGTAATGTGGTCAATGGCCATATGTGTTTTCATTTACCTGTAATTAGACGATATTTATTAGATCCTTGTTTCTTCAAAACTATGAGACAAAATGCCAAACAAATCACCAAGTTTGATTGCATTTGTGTCATCGGTTTCTCCGTGACCCGACTACGGTTACCGATTTCAATATTTTGGTAAATAATTTCACACGGGTCGCTTCTTCTCAGAATGTGTTTGGAAGACAAATAATTGTTGTCAGCGATGCAATGTGTAACGAGATAGCTCGCCTTGTGTCAGCTACCGTTATGTAATGTTTGTTGACAGCAAAGTGCACGATCATAGGACTGCCATATTGTCCAATGAATTACTGCAGCGGTTGCATAACACGCTCCTGCCTCACGAAATAATACGTACGTACACCGCACTGTTGCTTGTTGCTAGCTGCAGTTAGCAACTAGTATAGTATACTCGATGTCAATTACCTGCGGGCTTCATTATGCATAGCGTAATAAGTAATTAAATTACACTTGTTTATTTTTATCACACCATCAAAGTACAGCTAGTATGCTATATCTAAAGTCGAAACTGATTACATTTCAACAACTGAAACTACGCAGACGTTCTTTGAAACACTTGAAACTGATTCCTCTAAATTCCGATGCACCCTGAGCTTTATGCCCGAGTGTTGTCTACCGAGAAATCGTCACTAATATCGGTATGCGCAAGTCGATAACGCCTAACAAGGCCAAAGGAATTTGACACTATTGTGTTATCGATATGTCATGTTGTGTCGTGTCGTTTTATCATCGATTTTCCTAATAGTTGTTCACTATCTTTGTTTGTTTGTAAGAAAGTTGTTTAGTTGATAGCGCTTGTAATTGTTAGACATCGTGGAAGGTTTTGGGAGTTTTCAAACATTTTTCTTTCGCTTGCAGGATTTTAAAGTAACCTAATGGTGGTAATTAACATGAATGACTATGATGTTAAAGTTTTTGTCGTCACGATAATGTCTTTTAAACTAACCGGTTGTTTGTTACGTCAGTAGTTTAAGTTTATTAACACGAATTCGCCAACAATTTCTTCATCAAAAGCCACGTCAAAATTGACCTTTCAGCATAACTCAATCCAATCCAATTTAGTTTGAATAGAATTAGACTGCGAACACT